GCTACCCGTCCCCTGCCTCCCTGCCCACCGAGCCTAGAGCCTGCAGGGGGGAGAGCACCACCCTCAGAGGTGTGAGGAACACAGGGGACTAGACACAGGAAGGCCTCCACCACCTCACGTCCCTCCAGCTTTATGGCAGCGCAAGCATCAGCTTCGCTCTAACATCACGAAGGGGTCTGTTCACCGAGGTCCACGGGCAGCAGGCAGCGTGGCCCGGACAGCTGAGGACAGAGTCACAGGTCCCTGGCTACCTATGGGGCCCCACCTGCGTCCTGGTCAAATCTGTCCTGTTGCCAGGGAGAGCTACCCAGAAAGGGTTGTGCTCCAAAGCCCTGGCTAGGGTATGAGCCAGCTCCCTTCAGCTAGAGGGGAAGGGGGTGCAGAAGGGAGGCTAGAAGCTTCTGGAAAGAGAGGGATTTCATTCCTTACCCTGTTCCAGCCCCCCAGCTCACACCCTCTCAGGGGCCTGGCTGAGCCCTCCTCTCTGAGGATGCTGGTTATTGGGCCTCCCTCTGCCTCCAGGGCCAACTGCGGAGAGCACAGACCGGAGGCTGCAGGGGAGGGACTTTATCCCTGAGCTCTGACCAGGATGGCCCAGCCCAAAGCTATCTTGGAGCCCTACGCTGCGGCTCCTAATCCTGTTCCTGGGCCAAGTGTGGTTTCAGGGACCTCTTTCCTGACCCTCACTGTTCACAAGCCCTCGACCATCAGGGCAGCACCTTTTCAGCCTTTAATCATTACTCTCCACTCAACCTCAGTGGCACTGTCAGGCCCGAGGACCCCACAAACGAGGGAGCCCCCCGGAACACCACGCTGCCCTGCAGAGTCCCACAGCCCACCATCTCCGTGGGAGTTCTCGGTGGTCCTCGTTCACACAGAAGGCCCTTGTCACCATTGCTCCTGGAGGGGACAGGCTCCTTCCCCACCTGCTTGGGTTCTGAATCCATCCCCAGCTCCAGCAAGAAGACTGGCTTGAGATAGGCAGGCAAACCACGCCTTTCTGCTCCCTCTCCCCAACTTCCGCAGGCCTCCCCCAAGCCTCACCCTGCACCTCTTTCCCACCACCTGCTCTCTGACCCTGGCTCCAGTGTCTGCACCCTGTTCTCCTCCTCCACTGCCACCCCCACATCCAGCCTGACTCCATTACTGGACTGGTTCATAAGCGAAAAGCACGAAAGGCCGGCAAAACCCCCTCTCATTACGCCTTTCTCAGCTCCCTGCTGATGGAGAAAGAAGAGAGGGTGGGAGAGAGAAGAAAGAAGGAAGGAAGGAAAAGAAGGGAGGGAGGGAGGGAGGGAAGACAGAGAGGCAGTCAGGCAGAACATGAGCAGCAGGTCAGAGCAGCTCAGATAGGATGGAGAAGCACCTGCCAGTGGGCAATGAGAGGTGGCATGGGGGAGAGAGCTCGGGGTCCATCTAGCTGAGAGGCCATGGGCGGTGAGGCTGCCCTCTGAGCATGGAGCAGAGACCGGCAGGGCCCTGGAGCTAGCCAAGGGGGTGGCAGCCTTGCAGATAGCCACATGCCCTTTGGGGCAGGGCAGGAGGGACGTGTGGGCCTCGGAGTGCTTGTCCTCACTGGGCAGGGCAGGCTAAGGCTTGGAGCTGGTGAGCTTGGTGAGCTTATCTGCAAGGCTAGAGACGGGCAGCGGCGGCGGCGGGTGGCTGCGGGGAGGTGGGGGGGGGGGGGGGGGAAGGGGCGGAGGATGGAATACCCACCCGGGGGGGCTGGTCAGCTGCTGGGGCAGGAAGCTCCTCCGTGTAAGGTGCCTCCTCCAGACACAGGTGTGTGGGGGATGGGGGCCAGAGGGGGTGGAGGGAAGAAACTGAGCTTCCCTGGGGCGCCCTGGGGCTCCCCAGGGTTTAGTCAGCCTGGGGGGCTGGCTCCTCCCTCAGACATCTAAGTGCAACCCCCCTCGGAGCATCAGAGTGGGGAGGCCCTCCAGCTTGGAGTGAGGGTGGAGAAGGAGTGTGTGTGTGTGTGTTTATGTGTGTGCAGCCAATGGCCCTTGAAGGCCTGGCAGGGGAGGAGAGGGAGGGAGAGGTTCTCGGAGGTGCTAGGGGGCCAGAGGGTGGGAGTGGGCCCAGCCAGACTTCAGTCTTGAAGGAGCAACTGCATGACCCCCTGCCCCCGCAGGGGACCCTCAAGGGTTTACGGAGGCTGGCTGCTGCTGCTCCATCCCTGCTCTCTGCCCACTCTCCCTCTTGGGCAACAGCACAGCCAAGGGAGCTGCGGCTGGGCACGGACTGTCTGGAGGTTCACCGGCTCTGCTCCCAGGAACCCACAGCCCAAAGCCGATGCCACGGACTCCCAGAGTCGATTTGTTCTACAGGGTTTTCAATGTGGCTGCGACCTGTCTGACGCCAGATCACCAGGCCGTCCTCCAAGGAGCCCCGAGGCTGGACTTGAACTGCCAACCTCTGGGTCCGTAGCTGTGCATTTAACTTTTGGCACCACCCAGGGGCTCCTCTCAGGGAAAACCTCTAGGAGAAACCTCAACCCACTGGCCCTGCTCGGCCTCATTTTCCCCAGACCCATCCGTTCCCCAGGGAGAATAGCTGCTTCCAGGAGAAGCCCCACCCCCCTACCCCCCCTCCCCGCCCCAGCTGCCCTATTCTTAACTCTCCAATTTCCCCCAGGAGCTAGCCAATGAGTGCCCACTTGGGGGCCTGACTGAGGGATTCTCTAGAAGGATCCCAGGCCTCTCCTTTTGGGGGATCCAGAGAAGTCTCTGAGGCTCTCCGATAATAATGAGTGTTGGAGTAGGTGGGTGGGTGGGAAATCACGGGCAACAAGCAGTTTGCTGGGGAACGTGGCCTTAGGGGAGCCTGCGCACGCTTTCGTGGAGGGAGGTGTGGGCCAGTCCTCGGCCTTAGTCTGGGAGGGTAGCCTTGGAGGGCAACTGGCTGGGGCAGGGCAGGGAGGAGAGGGGTAGATAGTGCTGGCAGCTTAATTAGGCGTGGGAACAGTGGCATTACCCATGCTAGCAGTAACTTTTAATTGTATCTCTTGAAATTGGTAAAATGGTGAGTCGGGCTGGGGAGGCATTGATTAATACCTGAGAAGAGAAACAACAGAGACGGTGAGAAGAAGGGCCAAAGGGGCTCGGAGTCACTCACCTCGGCAGCCAGGCCTCCACTTACCTCCACCGTGCTCTCCGCAGGCTTCTCCCCCAGCACCGCTGTCGCCGCTGCCGCCCCCGCAGCATCCCTCTTGGCTGCCAAGGCAAAGACCACAGCCCAAGCTCTCAGTGGGCCTCAACACAGACCCCGTGGGCCATGCCACTCCCACCTCAGTGCATCCAGCGTCCCAGACGTCTTACAATCCTACGCCCAGCCCCTCGGGGTGACCATGGGCCAGACTCTCTAACCCCTCCGGGCTTCTTGAGGAAGATGAGGGTGTTCTTTCTGACTGGGCACGGCTGAGTGGAGCTCACCCAGTCCAAGCCGGCCAAGGACAGCCTTGAACATGGGCTTCAGAGGTGGGTGTTGGGTCTCTGCTCTCAGAAGCATGGGGCCTTGTGGTGTGTGTGTGTGTGTGTGTGTGTGTGTTGGTGAGGGTGTGCGGGGAGGTGTGTGCTGCAGCACCTGTCTCCTTCCTCCACAGACTATAAGGGAAGGGACCATGCTCCTCCCTGTCCCTCTCCCTGTCCCCTGGCTGAGTCAGCTACCCGTGCCTGTGTCTTGGAGGAGGCCTACTCAACAGAGGGTTCTGTGCTGGTTTTCTAGCAGTGGATTACCAGGCCTTTCCTCCGAGGTGGCATCAGGGAGCTGGGGGCGGGCAAGCTTCCTGTTACCAACGCAGTGGGTTAAACGCCACTGCCCCCCCACACCCAGGGACTCCACCGAATGATGCAGAGAGTATTAAAGGAAGGAGCTGCTGCCTGGGCACAGTGAGAGCCTGATATGGCTTGCCGTGCCTAGATGGTCCTGGGGGGTTTGAGTCGGCATGGACCCCAGCGTCAGCCGACACCCTTTCTAGCTCAGTCAACCCCTGCTCCCACACCCAATCCCAGAGGGCGTCTCAGAGCACTTGATCAGGGGGCTGGAGGGGGAGGGGGGAGGCCTGGGTGCTTAGACATCCCCAAGGAGGCCAGTCCCCCATCACCTGTCCATTCTTCGGCTTCCTACGGCACAAGGGGGTACTGCAATGGGAACAGCCCACTGGGGAGGCTCCCCTGGGAAAAGTCCCTGGTTGCGGGGGGGCTGCCTCTGTGCCTGAGGGGTTTGCACACACGAAAGAGGCAGGTTGGAGCGGGGTGGGCTTGGGGGTTCAGGGAAGGGATCGCAGCTGGGAGCTGGCTCTGAGGTGGAAACAGCCGTGAGACACGCAGTGACCTTATAGACTCTGGCCCTGCGGACACGAGAGGGCTACCAGAAAGCAGAATGATGATTACCACCTGAACCCTCCCGGAGAAGAGGGCAGATCGTCCGCAGGGCTGGGAAAGCCCACCACCTCTCCTAGCTGGTGTGACCTGTCTGAAGCCTGGTGGGCTGCCACCGAGGGAGGGGATAGAGGTGGATGCCAAGCTCTGGCGGTTACTGACTCTCTGCTGAAACTGGGGCCTTGCGGCACACACAGCCGGCAGGCGGGGTACTCAGCAAACGTCTGTTGGCTGTAATGACAAATGACTGACTAGACTAAGCCAACAGTTCAGGGAGGCTGCTGGGGCTTCTGCTGGCTTGGGAGGGAATTCCGATGCCACCTCTCTTTCTAGTGCTCCTCCATTTCAGGCCTGGTGGGGGACGGTGGCAGGTCGGGGGGAGGCAGGAGCAGGCCAGCAGGAGACAGGATGCAGGTTTGTGGGCAAAGGGGAAGCAGAGTCTGCAGCTGCCCGCCCCCCCCCCTCCCGCCCTTCATGTGGGGTGAATCGTCCTGTTGGAAGGGAGCAATGGAGAAATCCGCGGAGCTGAGGGCTTTCTTGATTTGAGGGTGGGCCTGGGAGAAGGGAGTGTTCAGGGCTGAAAAGATCTTGTAGGGAAAGAGCAAGAGCTCTGGACTATTCTGGCCACCATGCCGCCTGCCCTGCTTCTTCGAGGCTCTGGATGCTGGACCTCTAGGGCCACCTGGACCAGGGGCACAGCTCATTCTCATCACACCCCTGATTCCCACTGCTGCGGCCCCACCAAGCGCAGAAGAGCAGGTCTGGAGCCTCCTAGACCACCACCCACCCTAACTGCCCCTGAAGCCAACCGCCGGGGTTGTGGGAGGCCTTATGGGCCCAGGCATCCGGTTATCCCTAGCCCAGGGGCCAGAGCAGAGTTGCAGCTTACCTGTGGGCGAGCCTTGCTTGGACTGTGGGTCCACCTGGGCTCCCCCGGACTTGAAGGAAAGGGACTTCGCTCCTTGCTGCTTCTCCAGCTCCCCTGCGGGACCGAGAGGCCCGTGAACAGAGGGAAAGCCCCACCCTGAGCCATGCAAAGTTGAGATGACGGAGCGAGAGAAGGAAGAGGGGCACCCCGAACCCCGCCTTGCTGCCAACACATGGACTTGAGAGTCTGGTCAAGTAAGTTTTGAAGCCTGGCCCTACCACTTAACTGACCTCTTAGAAGCTCAGTTTCCTCCTCTGTACACAGGGATGAAAACATCCACTTGGGAGGTCACACCAGCGAGGCAGTAGAAGAGGTTCAGAGGGAGGTTGGGGTGCATACGGTCTGGGTTGGAATCCTGCTCCTGACGCTTCCAGGCTGTGTGGCGTTAGGCAAGTTACTGACCCTCTCAGTGCCTCACTTGATAGACAGCAGGGTCCACTTCAAAGTGTCATCAAGAGGACCATGTGAGAAACTGCAGTGAAACCTCTTAGACCGGGCTCTGGCTTTTACTGCAATGAGTCACAAGCACTTGGCCTATGGCCGACCTTAGGCATGGGGGTTAGAGATGCCTCGCCCACTTCCTTTCTGGGTGGGCACCAGCAGGCCAGAGCTTCTGTTGGGCTTTCAGAGGCTTTCCGAGCCTTCCCAAGGAGGGCACCCTGCACGCTGGCACGGCCAGACATTTGTCCTGATGATCTTCCTTAATGCCTCTCCCTGGACCGGAAGCCTGTTCCTTCTTGTTCTTCCCTCTGCTCCGCAGCACGCGGGATTTGCTGTTGCTGTCCTGGGAGGGTTGACAGTCATTATTAAATCACTCCTCCGGGCTACTCTTTTCCAGGAGACATAACTCAAGTTTCTTTTATTAAAGCGACTCTCCTGGGTCCCATTCTCTGTCTCTCTGGTCGTCTCTAATCCAGGAACACTGAACTGTAAACCCGCAGACCAGAACCATCTGTGCAGATCACCGGAATCACATCATCCATCAATAGTAAATATTTTTCCTCAGCTGAGGGTTGATCTCTATCCCCCTCCCCACCTTCCTCCCAGGGGCTGCCTTGCTTGGCTTTAGAGAGAAACTAACACAGTAATTCCATGAACCTGGGTGCAGCTGTTGTCTGATCACTGACTGTGTGAACCTGGGCCTCTCTCTCAGGCTCTGAGCCTCAGTTTCCTCATCTACAAAGTGAGGATAATATCGTTCTACAGAGCAGCCCTGGTGGTGCAGTGGTTTGAGCACACTGTTGCTAAATGAAAAGGTCAGTGGTTCGAACCAGGGCTTCAACCCACTTCATGCTGATCCCTGCTGCACACCCCTCACCCCACACACTGAATCAGAATCTGCATTGGAACACGGAGTCCATTCTGACTCGTAGCCACCCTGTAGGACAGCGTAGAACTGCCCTTGTGGGTTTCAGAGATTGTAAATCTTTACAGGAGTAGAAAGCCTGGTCTTTCTCCCTCGGACATGTGGTGGGTTCGAACTGCCGACCCTGCAGTTAACCGCCCAATGTGTAACCCACTATGCCACCAGGGTTCCTGCTAGGAAACTGTAAGAATCACCTTATTGGGAGCAGATGGAGCAGATGGACATTGGGACTCCACTTAAGTAGTCCTTCAATGCAAGAACACGTTTTTCTATTTAACTGGCATTCCATGATGCTCACCTTCCCAACACGATTGCTGAAGACAAAGCGGGCGCAAATGTGGTGAAGAAAGCTGATGGAGCCCGGCTGTCAAAAGACATAGTGTCTAGGGTCTTAAAGACTTGAAGGTAAACAAACGGCCATCTAGCTGAGAAGCAACAAAGCCCACATGGAAGAAGCACACCAGCCGGTGTGATCATGAGGTGCCAAAGGGATGAGGTATCAGACATCAACGAACAAAAAATCATATCATTGTGAATGAGGGGAAGTGCAGAGTGGGGACCCAAAGCCCATCTGTAGGCAACTGTACATCCCTTACAGAAGGGAGATGAGCCAGTCAGGGTGCAGTATAGCACCGATGAAACATACAACTTTCCTCTAGTTCTTTAATGCCTCCTCTCCCCCACTATCATGATCCTAATTCTACCTTACAAATCGGCTAGACCAGAGGATGTACACTGGTACAGATAAGAACTGGAAACACAGGGAATCCAGGACAGATAAACCTCTCAGGATCAATATTGAGAGTATTGATACCAGGAGGGGAAGGGGAAGGTGGGGGAGAAAAGGGGAATGGATCACAATGATCTACATATAACCCCCTCCCTGGGGGACAGACAACAGAAAAGTGGATGAAGGGAGATGTCGGACAGTGTTAAGACATGACAAAACAATAATAATTTATGCATTATCAAGGGTTCGTGGGGGGGTGAGGGAGGGGAAAATGAGGAGCTGATATCAAGGGCTCAAATAGAAAGCAAATGTTTTGAGAATGATGATGGCAACAAATGTACAAATGTGCTTGACAAAATGGATTTATGTATGGATTGTGATAAGATTGTACAAGCCACCAATAAAATTATTTTTTTAAAAGAATCACCTGATTTAAAATATAGGTATGATGATTGTGGTAATTACATAATCTGTTGTCAAATTAAGACTATTAAAAGTGAAGGGGTGGAGTTTAGCCTGTCAATCAGGTCGCAGCTTGATGACCTCATTTGGAGGCGCTAAGGAGACAAATAGCTTTCTGGAGGTGGGACATACACTCTCTCCCTATGAGACAAGCCACAGGGAGCTATGCTGATGGCAGTCAGGGCCCTGGAGCTGGAAGAACCACGTGGAGACTCATGCCAGCCAGAGATGCTTCCACCACCACTGGATCCACAAGACTTTCTACCCACTGGCCTGTGACCTTCCTGCATTCAGCCTTATTGCATAGCTACATGAGTCTGAAGAAGAATTTATAGACTATTCTCGGACATATTATGGACTTGATCTGGACTGGACTGGGATGTTTTCTTAATATACAATTACTATTTGATATAAATTCTTTCTTAGACATATTTGAGTGCCTCTGGATTTGTTTCTCTAGTCAGCCCAGACTAACAATGACTCAGTATATCTGGGGCAGAAACACAAATTCTCAGCAGGCTGTTGAACTGGAACGAACCGGTTCCAAGCCCTGAGTAGACCTCCCCACTGGGTTTCCTAGGCTGTAGTCCTTACGGATGCCGATTGCCATATCTTTCCCCGCTGGTGGGTTCTCTCTCACCACGGACCTTTCAGTTTGGAGGCTGAGGGGTTAACTATTGTGCCTTCAGGGTTCCTGGCTGAAACAAAAAACAACTCATTGTCCTCAAGTCAATGGTGCCTCATGGTGACCCAAGAGGACAGGGCAGAACTGCCCCTGTGGATTTTTGATACTGCAGCTCTTTACGGGGGTTGACAGCCTCATCTTTCTCCCACTGAGCGGCTGGTGGTTTCCAACTGGTGACCTGGCAAATAGCAGCCCAACTTGTAAACATGCAATAGACATGCCAGCCTGGTGGGATCTGGCATGTCATCAGGGCTCCGTAGCATTGGGTTTTTCATTTCCTTGCTTCCTAAGCCCCAGACCAGCCCCTCATTTTTCCTCAGCCGCACAAGGACAGCTGAAGGGCAGCCCCTCTTGGTGCTCCCTCGCCCTCCAGACGGCGGAGGGAGAGGGTCACCCGCATTCTGGCTGTTATCTACTCCTTTGTCCTTGGAGAGGACATGGCATGGGCTCTTCCAGCTATGCTGGTGCCCCAGGGTGCCTACGGCTCTCCAGGGCTGTGTGGGAGCCATCGGTGGCAGATTGAGAACAAAGGAAGTCATTTCAGGGTGTGTCCTTGAAAAGGTTTTAGAACAACAGCTGGAGTGGCCTCTCTGGGCATCCAGAGAAGCCCTTGCCAAGAGTCTGTTTGCTACATGGCTGAATTCAAGTATGCCAACAGCTTGGGGAAAGGAAATTTGCATGTCCTCTATCAGGCAGTACCTGAGTGATATCTTGTCTGGCTGATTATAAGAAGGATTATCTTCTTGGGAAATTATACCCAGAGCCTCCCTCTTCTCTCACTCTCTGAGTACACAGCGCAAGTGCCTTGTCGTCAGGCTGAAATGTGATTGCCAGATTGTCCCCTTCCAGTGAGGATGACCTGGGCGTGCCATTAACTGCTCAGAGCCTCACCTGTAATCACGTGGGGGCGGGCCACCTCAGAGGGTGAGGGGGGTTGCTGTTAGTTACCATCAGGTCAGTTCTGGCTCGTGGCAACCCAATGTGTGCAGGGTGCAGCTGCTCCAAAGGGTTTTCAAGGCTGTGGTGGATTCGAACCACCAACCTTTCAGCGACTAGTCAAGTGTTTAATGGCTTGAGCCACCTAGAGACCTCACTGTGAGGATTAACAGAATAGAAATGAACGACCCTGCACAAAATACGACCTGGAGTCTATCCCACCCAATTTTGAGAAACATCTCGAGAACAGACTTGATGCATTGAACACGAATGACAGAAGACTGGATGGGCTGGTCATGACCATCATTCATGAAGAAAGCAAAAGTCATGAAAAAGACAGGGGAAAAAGAAAAGATCAAAGTGAATGTCCAAAGAGACTGTGAAATGTGCTCTTAATCATAGAGTCGCTAAGGCAAATGGAAGAAATGTGAAGTCAAAGGGCTGAACAGAACATTTCAAAGGGCAGCTCCCGAAGACAAAGTCGAGTCTTACAATGAAATGTAAAAAGACTTAAGAGTTAGAAAGCGAAAAGGGAAGAACGTGCTCAGCAAATCTGAAACGCAGATAACTCAAGGGGAGGGGGGAGTCAAGCCTCAAGTTGAGTAAACAAAGTTGGAACTGATCGACATGCCACCATTTCAGGAGGTAGCATACGAGCAAGAACCAATGGTACTGAAGGAAGAATCCAAGCTGCACTGAAAGCATTAGACAAAAGCAAGGCTCCAGGAACATATGGAACACCGATTGAAATGGTTCAACAAACTGATAAAGCAATGGAAGCACTCACTCATCTATGCCAAGAAATTTGGAAGACAGCTTCTTACACCTATTCCAGAGAAAGGCAACCCAACAGAATGTGTAAATTACAGAGCAAATAACACGCAAGGATGTTTTTGCTTCAGATCCTCTAACAATGACTGCAGTGGTACAGTGACAGGGAGCTGCCAGCAATTCAGGCTGGATTCAGAAAAGGATGTAACACAAGGGATAGCATTGCTGACATCAGATGGATCTTGACTGAAATCAGAGAATACCAGGAAGATTTTACTTGTGTTTTTCTATCACCACCAAGGCATTTGATTGTGTGGATCGTAACACAATCGGAAAGCCCTGAGCAGGGTGGGAATTCCAGAACACTTCACTGTGCCCATGCGGAACCTGGACATGGATCATGAGGTAGCTGTTGGAACAGAACAAGGGAACCGTGCGTAGTCTCGAATCACGAAGGGTGTGTGACAAGGCTGTATCCTCTTCACCATACTTATTCAATCTCTATGCTGAGTAAATCATCAGAGAAGCTGAATTATATGAAGAAGAGTACACTATCAAGATCAGAGGAAGGCTTAGTAACAATCTGCAATATGCAGATGACCCAACCTTGCTGGCCGAAAGCTGTGTGTGTGTGTGTGTGTGTAAAGATTATTGAAATGAACCCACCAGGTGAGATCAATGAGCCAGAGGGCTGCGGTGGGGAAGCTCTGAACGCCATGTTGGTGGGGAGGAAGGACCCTGGGCTCCAGGAGTTCTCTGCTTTGGCTCATTGATCTCACCCAGTGGTTTCATTTCAACTTCCCAGCCCCGGTCAGCTCTCTGGGACACAAGGGGCCCAGGCGCAACCCACATATCTAGCTGGGCGAGCACACCTGCAGCAGGCCCCATCAACCCCTGGACAGGGCAGGGGAGCCTCTGTGGAAGGAGGGCTGTGCCTCCCTCCAGAGGGGGCAAGCGCAGAAGCAGGGCTGTGTGGGGCTCCCAGCTGATGGGGATGGAGGGGGACACCCACACCCCACCTGACATGCTTACACTCTATCCGGATCTGCTCCAGCTCCGTCACCTCGGCGACGGACTCCTTCAGGTCCTCCACGAACTTCTGCATCTCGTCCGAGCCCAGGGCACAGAAGTGCAGCACCTGCTTCTTCTCCGAGCCCGAGAACGGGGTCACCAGCGTGATGCCGTGAGAGTAATCTGGAAACCGGGCCCCAGGGCCCCGCGGGGCTGTGAGCGGCAGAGCGGCAGGGGCCGAGGGGGGCGTCCTCCTCTGCACACACACACACACACACACACCCCGCCCCCTCGGTTCGCTTACATTCGTTCTCAAAGAGGTGGAACTGCATGCCCAGCAGGCCGACCGACTTGCAGAAGGTGTAGGTGGACGAGCTCTTCTTCTTTGGACAGAGTTTGAGAATCTGGGCAAGGAAAGATGGCACCATTCACCTAACCAGGCAGTAGGGGCGGCATGGACACCCGGGGCAGCCAGGCAGGGCCTCGTGAGCACACAGGCAGGCGCACTCACACACCAAGGCTCCCCTCCCCACCCC